GTCCAGTCCTATTTAAAATATAGACAGCCGTGTTCACGAGTTCAGCCCACAAGTATTGTGGCAACTCCTCATGCGCATGCATCATTGCTCTAGCAGATTCAACAATGGTTCTGTTGTCACGTTCACAACAACCATTCTGCTCTGGTGTATATGGCATCACCAGCCGTTGCTTAACACCATTCCTTTTTAGAATATTTTTTACTTTTTCGTTGTCGAACTCTCCGCCGTTATCGCTGAGCAGTTCCTTGACTGTATGTCCTACTGTCTTAGCTTCAGCTAGCATATCTTCTAATTTTTGATATACTTCTGACTTTTCACGTAGAAAGTAGACATAGCGAAATCGTGTGTAGTCGTCCTTAAATAAAACAAAATACTTATATTTTGATGTAGAACTTGGGAAGGGTCCACAAACATCTGTGTGAATAAGTTGTCCAGGTGCAGTTGCTCTTTCACGTACACCAAACTTCCGTCTATGTGCTTTTCCGAAAATACAGCCTTCACAGACTTCTTCATTAGACCAGTTTGTTTTAATTCCCAACTCACGTTCGATTACACCCTTTACGTGTTTTTTACTCTGATGTCCCAATCTCTCATGATATAGTTGCAATTTATCTGTCTTGTCTACCAGATTTATGCAAGTCACAGGCAATACAGGTTTAAATTTCAACTTATATAAACCACCATACCTTTCTCTGGTTCCTTTTACGGCAATCTTTCCGTTGATTTGGACATTACAAGATGTTACACGGGACTCAAACAGACTATCAGGATTTCTGTCCTGAGCCGATAGAACCGAAAATAAATTCTTACTAATTTGAGGTACATACCAGACATATACATACATACATACATATCTGTCACGCCTGTCTCCCATTAGGGTAGGCAGAAACAATGGAACGCCAAATGCTTCGATTCAAACAAACCTCTTTCGCTTCTTCCACATTCATCAATCTTGTCATACACGCTCGTCGGTTACGGGTACTTTTAATTTGGCCCTTCTTCAGCACGTCGCCTATTTGGTCGACATACGTCCGTCTAGGGCGGCCCCTACCGACATCTCCATTCATTCTTGCTCGATAAATCTCTTTCGTAATTCTTCTTTCATCCATCCTCTCCAAATGACCAAACCAACGCAACATTCCTTTTTCAATTTTTGTCACTACATCGTCTTTCAGTCCACACTTCTCTCTAACCACACTGTTTCTTACTCTATCTTTTAAAGTAATACCACACATACTTCTCAAAGCTCTCATCTGTACAGCATTTATCTTACTTTCATGCTTCTTCTGCCATACCCACGATTCGCTTCCATACATGAGTGTTGGTGTCAGTACTCCTTGAATTATAGCAAGGCGAGCTTTGCTCGATACATTTTTACTTGACATAATCGAGAGCAGTGCACCGTTAGCACTGTTTCCCGCTTTTACTCTCCTCTCAATATCTCTGTCACACTTCCCATCCCTCGTAAACAAAGAACCTAAATATAGAAACTCACTCACTTGCTCTACTTTTTCATCTCCTATCATAATCTGGCATGCCGTTAAACTTTCATTCCTCTCAAAAACCATTACCTTCGTCTTCTTCGCATTTATTTTCATACCTTTTCTTGCATACGCTTCATTCATTATAGTCACCATTTGTTGTAATTCATACTCCGACGATGCAAAAAGTACTTGGTCGTCGGCGTATAAAAGAGTCTTAAACAGAGACTCATTCATCCTGAATCCACAATTAGATCCTTTCAAATCGGTCAAGCAACTGTCCATAAATAGGTTGAACAGCCAAGGAGACGCTACACAGCCCTGTCTAACACCGCGTTCAATGCCAAACCAGTCTGTATAGACTCCATTTATTCTGACACAGGCATTTGAATCCTTATATAAAGATTTGAATGCCCGTATCAAATGGCTGCTCACCCCATACATTGCCAGTGTTGACCACAGTTCATTCTTCTCCACTCTATCATAAGCCTTTTCAAGGTCAATGAAGGCGCAGAAAACCTTCTGATGTTGAGCTAAGGTTTTCTCTGTTATGCACCTTAAGGAAAAGACTTGATCCGTACATCCCATACCCTTTCGAAACCCTGCTTGCACATCCCAAATTTTACTTTCCGTCTCATTCATCACTCTTTTAATCAAAATCCTAGCATACAATTTGCCTACAACACTAAGAAGGCTTATTCCGCGGAAATTTTTGCACTCCTGCTGTGACCCGCTGCCTTTATATAGTGGCACAATAACAGCTTTGCTCCAGTCACCTGGAACACAATCGGACCGCCAACATTTATTGAACAGCAGACACAGCAGGTTTACAATGATTTCTCCACCTTCTTTAAGCATTTCGGCAGATATTCTATCGAATCCCGCTGCTTTACCAAATTTCATAATCTTCATTGCATTCATTACTTCATCCATACTTATATCACTTTCACTTTCACATACCAGACGTTTCGAAGATATATATTCTCTTCCTTACCATCAACATCAGCTATAACGTTGATTGTGCCTTTACCAACGGCTTTGATAATATTACCATCCGCTGTTGTAACAGTGTGAGATTCGCCAAAGTATTCAAAATCCTGATAGAGATCCTGACGCATTGTTACATGATTGGTAGCTCCATTATCAACATACCAGCCATCCTTGTCGATAACCGTGTCTAATGAATTTACCAACAACAACATCATGTTCATGCTTGAAACAGTCTCTTTTCCTAAGCGAGTAGACTTCTTCTTAGAACATTCCTTCATAAGATGTCCTACTTCTTTACAAAAGAAACATTTCCTTTTATCAGTAGTCTTTGAAGTCTCACCTTCTTTCTTTAAAGTTTCACCTTTTTCCTTAGTAAACTTTTTCTTCACTTTGGTCACCAGTGCTTGCCCACTAATCTCACTAGTACCTCCTGTTCCTGTAAGAGCACGTTCATGAGCACACAATTGACTAGTTAGGTTTTCCACTGTTCGATCCTTTTTTGACATCAACAACCAACTCGACTTAAAAGAAAAATACGATTCAGGCAGTGTGTCTAGAATTTTGCAAATCAGCAAAAGATCCGGTAAATTTGTATTATTTTCTGCTTTTGCAAGTTCCTGTACCAGTTTGAACCATATATTCTTCAGTTTTGTAATGTGAGTTGTAATATTATCTAAGGGATCTTTACTGTACCGGAAGAATTCCATACATAAATCATACGCTTTATTGTCATTAACGCCATCATAAAGCCTGTGTAATTCATCCCATACTTCTTTAGGAGTGGAGAATCTAATCACCTTGTCAAGTGTTTCGTCGCTAATATTATTAGTTATCAAGAGTAGTGCTGTACTCTCTAACCTGAGAAAATTCTGTAGACTCGTGATATCACCTGTGCTAACCCTATCTCCATCAGCTGATGCAGCAGCTCCAGCCACTTGCGTAGCAGCTTCTGCCAGCAGAGAAGGTCGTTGTATATTACCTTCAACAATATCAAGAAGTCCGTCGATACCCCTTAGCAAAGCGGTCATCCGATACTTCCATTGTATCCAGTTATGGTTTTCAAGTTTGGTAATCTGTATCTTGGCAAGATCCATCTTCAGCAATCTGGGCCCATAACCACTTAAAGATATTCGTACCTTGAACCTTGTTCCTTGAACAGTAACTGAACTCTTCAAAGATTGGTAGTAAGAATTAGCAGAATTGTCAGTAGATTTCACTTATACAGTTTATAAGGTCCAAACAAATAACACAAAATATATATAAACGAACACACAATATCACTTGATATATAAATAAAAATAATATTTAAATCACCTACTAATTTTCTATTTTCGTAATAAAACGACAGTCAACAATCGCTAGGCAACACACGCAATAGGTGTCACACCGCATTTTAAATTTTGGAACCAACCAAAAAGTATTAACAATATTAAATCAAGAAGTATTATCATGTCAAGCGCATGTGATAGCCATGTGAATGTTATAACGTAAAATAATAACATCACACTTACAACATACTCTTGCTTTAATATTTTATTAACATATTAGCATGAAAAAATCAATCAATATTTAAATCATAGATTCAAATTATCATTTTAAATTATGAGTATTAATTATAAAGAAGTAAAATAATCCCTGCAATAAAAGACAAAGAAGTGGTTTCACTGGTAGATGTTGTAGTAATGGTAGTAGTTTTGCTATATTATAAATACATAACTATACTTGACTTTGTGTGTTACTGATGTTAAATTCTCAGTTGTAGAGAACACTACAAATACTTTTCAAATATCCATCTGTAAAAATATATAACATTATGAAAACATGAAATCACGCGGTTACGAAATGTGAACTCTAAATAAGTACTTATTATTTTCTATTGCTATTTTTATTTAAATATTCGTTAAAATACGCATAACATGCGTGTCGAATGTATTCGATTCGCACGTTCAAGGTACGCATAATTATACTTTGAATATTATCTGTACAATAATTATAACTATCACATATAAATATTGAATGTACAAGGTTAATTTGTTCACGCTTGAATCATTAACATAGGCCGTGAAATAACTAGAGAAAGAGTACTAAAGACTTATACACAATTTAAGTCTCTCTCAGTAATTTAAACTAATTGACGCCCAGTCACACTAATATTTCGATTAAAAAGTAATTATTAAGGGATAAATGATTATCTCATCATTGCTAACTTAAAATTACTAAAAGAAACAAGAATAAAGGTAACAAAATATAGGAAAGATTTTTCGTAAATTCATCTGCAAAGGAGATTAAAAGTTTGTATTTCTGCCAATTTAGAAACTTTAATACATAAACATTTGTGTTATAGCTCTAATTTAGAAATGAGAAATATAATGTATTAAAGTGGTAATGGATGTAAAGCGATAATTTTCGTAATTACTGAATCTGGTTTCTGAGTCGGCCATAGGCCTCTAGATTTATGGGTTAATTATCTATCCCTTGTTTTGCTTACTTTCATAATTAATTACCTAATTGTATTACTATTTGTTACAGTGTTGGAGATTGAAACAAAAGATGCAGAGTGTCAAAAAATTAACGAGGATCCATTGACAAAAGCTATAGGTGCTATTGGAAAATGGCAAATATGGATATGTTTTGTAGTGTTCCTCGTTAAATTTCCAGTGGCTTGGCATCAGATGAGCATCATATTTCTTGCACCTCCAGTAAATTTTACTTGTGCTTCTGAACAAAGCAATGAAGCCTTTATCAATGTGTGCAACGCCAGCTGTACGGGTTACGAATACGACCGAAGTATCTTTAAAGAAACGATTGTATCACAATGGGATTTAGTATGCGACAGACAATGGCTGAAAAATCTTACCCAAACAGTATTCATGCTTGGAATTCTAGTAGGCAACATGGTCTTCGGCCATCTTTCTGATAGGTCAGTATGGCTTATTACGAAACTCGTACTTCTATACAAATATATATTAGTAGGTACAAAATAAATTGCCACATCCTCTCAGTAAGATGAACCCACAGAGGGGTTCCGGAAAGAATTACTTTAGTTACAGACTATTGTCCTATTTATGTTTCTAGGACAATTTATTGTTTCATAATGTTGTTTATATACAATTATCAAGTAGTTACCTATTTATATATGTCTATACAGTACAATATACTCGTTTAATTTAAAAGTGTTTATATAACATGTGTTATAATTCTAAACGTGTTAAGTTTCGAAGGCACACTATCAATAACATTCACTTTTCTGTGAAATAATATGTTAACTGTGTGGTAACACCCAAACAGGTAAAATTCGCAGACTTAAATTAATATTACACTAGGTGCGACTTACGTGCGACTACGTTTTTGTAGTCATTGATTATGAATTATCTCACGGGAATGCATTAGCAGGCTAAAAATTTTATTTTATTACAGGTTCGGGAGACGCATACCATTCCTAATAGCTGTATTTTTGCAACTCATAAGTGGAGTGACAACAGCATATTCCATTAACTGGTACATGTTTACGACACTTCGTTTCCTTCTTGCTGTTGCTACTGGAGGCACCATGGTCACAAGTTTCGTACTCACCATGGAGTTGATAGGAGCTAAATACAGAGAATCTATAGGAATTATCTACCAAATACCATTTAACTTAGGTCACCTGACATTACCGTTATTTGGATATTATATACGTGACTGGAGCACTTTCCAATTGGCTATATCGTTGCCTTCTGTCATTTTTCTGAGCTACTACTATTTGCTACCTGAGTCACCAAGATGGCTTTTAACTGCATCAAAAACCGAAGAAGCTGTTAAAATTATGGAGGTTGCTGCAAAGAGGTAAAAAGACTGCCAGATCTTAATAACAATAATAAATGTAATATTTATAATCTGGTGATCTGTAACACAGGTTTATCCTACTTCAGACACCAGTTTTTCACAATACATTAACTTATGTAACCTTCAAAAATAAATATATTAAATTATAATAGATGTACAACTGGTAGTGTGAAGAGAATAAACTTTATTTTCTGTTTTACATTTCAAACAGAAAATTGTTATGACTCTGATCATAGATTAAATAATAATTAAAGGCATTTTGTTTAGTATTGTATGTGTGGTAATATGTAATATCTATATATAAATTTATCTTATAGCGATGGATCTTGCCCAGCAGTGAAGTTAATACTTTAATAATAAATATATACATATAGATGAATATGTATAATGAATATGAAACACGTCAATAAAATAATTAACTTTTGCAGAAATGGTCTTCCTACAGAAGGTATTGCTTCATCTATACAAAAGATGGCAGTCGAAGTAAGCAATAAGCAGGAAGAGCATGCATCTTTTCTGGCACTTTTTCGAACGCCACGACTTCGAGCAAGAACAATCGCTATTTGCTTCAATTGGTTCGTCTGCGGACTCTGCTTTTTTGGTGTCTCGCAGTACATTGGACATGTCTCTGGAAACATTTTTACTAATGTTGCTATTTCTGCAGCAATACAGGTAATCAAGGGTTAAAATTTAGATATAAATTTTAATATGTACAGTCCTAAACTTTGTGCTAGTTTTAATAAATAGTTCGCATTATATATACTACATATGAAATACTGCTCACATTTTTGAGCAAGAGCGCCTCAATATCAACTCCTTCCGCTTGACTGCATACAGTGTCAAGCTGTTCGAATAGTCAACGAACCCATGCTAACGGACGGTTTGGATTCCGTGAATTTGAAACAAGAGTTACTTCTTTATTCATTTTTTAACGTCTGTACAATGTGGAATGTTCTAAAGAATGAAATGCCTCTATCGCCCTTTTACCATCGTACCTTTGACCAAAAAACTGAAATTATCTTTTCTTGGGTGCATGACACACTACCACTGTCCAATTATTTCTATCTTATACATCTAAGTTGTGGAACGAGCCCTCGTCTTCAGTTTTTTCCTTATGATATGGGACATTTTAAAAAACGTTCCTACAAACATTAAAAATGCCGGCAATACACAAGCAATCGCTCTTATACTACAGGTGTTTATGGGTGACGGTAAACGCTGTCCTAATGGACAGCGTTTACCATCTAATGGTGGGCTGCCTGTTCGAGTCGTTTACCTCTCTAACAATGAAAAAATATTTACTAGTAATTATTATGAAATAGAAATGTATGATAGAATATACTTAAATGTTTAATTAAAAATTTTATTTTGCGAATTTTATGAACTTTAAATTTTAAAGCAACAAACATTTTGTCGTGATGAATCGTTTTGTCAACAGTATTTTTTATGGTGAAGTATTTATAATTAATAGTATAGTGTGACTATAAAAGATTAGTGTGACCCATATTATCAATGTCAATACTGTCAATATAGTCAAATTTTTATTGTTATTAACCTATAAATGATAACACCAGCAAATATTACTACCAATTATGCAAATTAAGCAAATATTATTACCAATCGTGATAAGCATTCTGATGTATTTTTATCTTTTTGTTCCAGGTTCCCGGAACTTTAATATCTATTTACGCTAATAGAGTTCTTGGACGCAAGATGACGCTCATCAGTGCTAATTGCGTTACTGGTTTGAGTTGTCTTCTCATCGTCTTTATCCCACATTCTGGAGCAAGCCATCTAACATTAGGCTGCATTGGTTTGTGGGGCATGAGTATATCATTTGCCACAGTTTACTTGTACGCAGGTGAACTTTTCCCTACTGTGGTGAGAAACTCTGGTGTCGGTTTATCTTCAACAGTTGCCAGAATTGGATCCATGGTAGCTCCTTTCGTAGCTACTCTTTCTCACAAGAGCCCATGGTTACCACCAATAGTCTTTGGCGTAGTTCCTTTAGTTGGAGCTGGTCTTTGTATAATATTACCTGATACTCGTGGAAGAAAACTGCCTGATACGTTAGAAGAAGGTGAAACATAAATGATTAGATCTCGTACATTAAACTAGCTGAGGCTAATTTTAATACCTATTGAAGATAGTTTAAAAATAATAAAGTATTCTTGTGTGCCTTATTTAGTGTATATCTGTATGTTGATTGATCATAATTTATTAATAATATAGATATAGGTACCTACTTCGAAACCAATTCATATTATAAGATCACCGGTTTCCTCGTTTGTATATTATAAGGAAATATTTTAATAGACTATTGTATATTTATTTAAGTAGGCTGTGATAATTAAGAAAGTAAAGATATTTTTATTGGAATTTTGAATTTTTATTACAATTCTTAATAATGCCTAGGTAATCGTGAATAAATATTGATTATTATATTATATATATACTGCTTTATATTTATTAAAATATTTTTATCGAAATACCCTAAAGATAAAGTTGAAATTTTTACTATTGTTAATATACTCGTATAGACATATTATCAGATATATAGTGTATTTCGATATCAACCTCATAAAGATCAAACCTAGTTATCAATAGTCCGTTTGTGCTCTAGATATGACCAGAGTTTAGAAATGTGATTCAAAGCAAAATATAATAATATTATATTCCATAAATTTGTGAATAAAATACAAAATTTTATTATTGTTAAAAAAATAATTAAATTATTTAAAATAAATTATTATTACCTAAACATTTTTGCAAAGATTGAACTTTGGCTTTCAATGCGTTGACAATATTATAAAATTATGTCTTCAGAAGACTTGATAGAAAAAACGATTGGACGTTTTGGAAAATTCCAAACATGGATACTAGTTCTCATAGCAATAGGTCGCTATCCAACCGAATTTCAATTAAATAATGTAGTATTCATTATACCAGGCGTTGAATACAAGTGTTTAGATACTGGGGCACTGAATGCAACTAATTATTGTCCTTGTGAAAATCCTGAATATGACCAAAGTACTATTGTTACTTCAGTGACATCCGAATGGAATCTTATTTGTGACAGAACTGCGTTTGCTAGTTTAGCACAGTCCATGATGCAAATTGGAATATTGGTTGGCAGCCTACTTTTTGGATATATTTCAGACAGGTAAAATTAAAATTATTTTTTTATAAAAATATTTAACCAAATTAAAGCTAACAGAATTAATTACAAGTCAACCTTTATATTACTTAATTTTGAACTTTCGCTTTGTTTTAAAATCACGATCGGAACTAAACGCGACGCGATTATAGATAAATAGTACCTACATATCTGATTTAATGTTGACAATAAAATTTAGATATGTAGGTACTATTTCCATGTAATTGTATCGTGAATTTAAAATCTTGATATTTTTCATTATAATTTAATTAAGAAAAAAGTAATAGAAAGATTGAAATATTATTATTTTATTAATGAAATTACAGCGCATTAAATTCACGATTCATCATCACCATATGTATTTATTATGCTGAAAACTAAAGCCCTAAAGTAATAAAAGAAAATAAATAAAAAAAATGGAATTACAAATAAATCAAATGAATAGTAAATTGATCTCTGACAAATAAATTTGAAAAGGTATCTTTGAAACTGGAAAAGAAAATATGGATACATAAATTAAAGTAATTTAATAATTTGCCTTAATATTTAGTATAATGGGCAACACTAGTCTCTCGCAAAAATTAAAAAAAAAAATTATTATACATACAAGACCTTCAAATATCAGCATTAATTTAATAAAAGAAAAATATAGTTGTCTCTATTACTAAAATGACACTATTACTTAAATGACAATAAAGGAAAACTAAATAGAAGTTTTTGTTAATGGGTTCTATTAAGTCGACCTTTATTGTAACAATTATGTATTGAGTACGTATAACGCTTCTGGTGCTACCTAGATTAATGATACCTATTGCACGCTAAGTACTATATTTGTTTGCATTTGGTCATGTACTATCGTATTTTAATTTTACCTTTAAGAATAATATAATAAGAGAATTCTAGTTTTAAGTTTATCTATATCTAAACAAACGGAATATAAAATTAAACTGAACAAGCCCAAGTATAAACTTTAGCCGCAAACAATTTCTGTTCATAAAAAAATATTTATATCGTACAAATAAATATAAAATCCTTACTAATATTATGAACACGAAAGCAAATTCTACTCGTCTATCTATTACGTTCTTACCATTAAATTATGACACTGATTCAGATAACATACACCTAACAAGAGATATACCTAGATAACGTAAGATGTGGGTGATCAAAAATTTAAAGGTAGTAATGTTGCAGATATCACTTTGTGTAAGTATATAGTATAATAGTGTAATGCAAATAATACAATTAACACATTTCATATCTACTGTTAACAATTTTTTTTTTTATTTAAAAGCTTATGTAAAAGCTTTACTTTAAGCTTAAGCTTAAAGTATTATGAATTAATGTGGACAACACCATTGTCATTTTTGTGATTGTAAAATCAACATCAAAAACTCACTGGCTGTAAATTACATTATAGTGAAATTTACTCAATGATTTATTTATTGATAACACTTTTTATTTGTATTACAGTTTTGGCCGAAAACCTTCCGTGTTGATGTCTTTGTTCTTTGAACCCGTTTTCATAATAACTTCTGCAATAGTACCACAATTTTGGATGTTTTTAGTGTGTCGATTTTTAATTGGCACTGCAGTTGGGGGAACAATGTTATGTTGTTATGTACTACTCATCGAATTAAGCGGCAAATCATTTAGAGCGTACCTCACTGGACTGCAGGAAATTTCTTTTATTAGTGGATATATCATCGTTGGTGCTATAGCCTATTATGTTAGAGATTGGAGAAATTTACAACTGGTTACATCCGTTCCTTGGTTGGCTGTCATAGTATATTACTGGTTAATACCAGAATCTCCACGGTGGTTGATAACAATGGGAAGAAAGAAAGAAGCTATTGTTATTCTTACTTATATCGCAAAAAAGTAAGTGGTATACTTAAGTTATTTTCTGAACAAAGCAAGACGCCTACTTTATTAGCTTTTGCCCGTGACGTCGTCCGTGTGACCTGGGTGTATTTACTAATCGAGATAAAAACTTCTTTTTTTCATACACGTACTAATATGTGTACATAAAAATTTATAGTAATTGTTTAGGCCTTTAAGGTGATATAAGGTAACAAACAAACAAATTTCTTTCACATTTATTATATTAAAATTTCAATTGTATCTTACACAGATTTGCTTTTCTAATTTATTATAAACTGATTGTAAAATATTATAAACAAAAATAAAAAAAGTAGTTAAATTTATATAATTTTTAAATAAAATAAACACCATTGACAAGATAACGTAGCGTTATATAGTCCTAAGCCGAGTAGACCTTCTTTTTTGGATACTAGCTAACAAAAAAAAACAGTTTTTTAACACCAAAAAAAATAATACTATGTTAGTTTAATTTAGTTCCTTGTTGTATATCTCAAATCTTTTTCAGAAATAATCGTTCAGTTGAAAACATCGATATTATTGTCTACGATGAAGAAGAACCAAAGAAACAAAAATCTGGGAATTACCTTGACTTATTTAAAACACTAAAAATTCGAAACTATACGATGATTGCTGCCCTTGTATGGATGTTCTGTTCCCATACATTCTTCGGTGTTAATCAGTACATAGGACGTTTACAGGGCAATATTTACCTTAATGTGATGCTTTCAGCTGCTAGTTTGGCACCTGGATTAATTCTTGTTATAACTGGCACCAGATTTTTAAATCGAAAAACTAGTATAATTATTAGTTTCATTGTTGGGGCAATGTCATTACTCGTTTTCATATTTATACCTAGCAATATGGAGACACTTATGTTAGTTTTTGCTATTATAGGTCAGACAGGAGCATACACCTCGTTTATCCAAACCTATTTATTCACTTCTGAATTATTTCCTACTGTAATTAGAAATTCTGCTATGGGATTCTCCTCAATGTTTGCAAGAGTTGGAGGATTTATAGCTCCTTTTGTTGTTAATATTGGTACAGAGTGGATATCTATTTTAATATTTAGTGCCATTGCATTCAGCACTGCGATATTATGTTGTTTTCTTCCCGAAACTAAAAATATAAATCTTACAAATTCAATTGAAGAAACAGAGGTTAAGGAATATAATAAAACTTAATCTACAGAAGAATATTCATTTATTATATTCAATTATCTCATTAAGACGATGCATAGAAAATCTACTTCCTTTCTTTTTAAAATCAATAAAGAAACTATTTTATTTTATAAAAAATGTGTGTGTATTATTACATGTTAGTTTTTGAAAATATAATAATGTATTACAGAACTAATTTTATTAATAATAATTACCATAATTTTAACACAAGTCATGTGTATTTAATTTTTTAACACTATTTACACCTGTGCTCGAAATTCGAGCAATAACAATAAAGAATTCTTTTGAACAGATTAAATACCTAGATTTAAAATCATTACTTTTTTTATTTATTGTATTTACCTTCATACGTGTCGCCAATTAATTATTATTTTTAAAGGAGCAAAAGTGGTAAGGAGGGTTGTGTGTCAAGACTGTGAATTACGATACTTTTAGAATATAGCAAATGAACTATTATGCTTACTAAGAAGTAAGAACTGATTCTAGCCATAAAAAAATTAACGTTAAAAAAAAAGCTAATAATAATAACAAATGCTTGTTGTTAACTTAAGTGTTTTATAAGCAGCGCATCGAATATGACATACCTACTACAATCATCACACGTAGTATCTATCTACATAGTCAGATATCATATAATACTGATGTAATTTAATATAGTAAGTATACGTTGGTGCCATTGAAAACACTTCGTTTAGTTTCATTAATGTCAGAAAATGTGCTAATATAAAAACAAAATTTATTTATTGGCAATGTATTTTAATTATTTAAATTAACATTAAAATAAGCATCCCTTATATATTTTTGACAATTAATTAACAATAGCAATTTGCCAGTGTATGTGAAGTTAAATTGTGCAACAATACGTAATGACTGAAGAAGACCCTATAGAAAAGGCGATCGGACGATTTGGTAAATACCAGACATGGATTTTATTCTTAATACTTTTGGGCCGCTCACCTACAGATTTCCAATTGAATAATGTGGTATTTTTAATACCTAGCGTTGATTACAAGTGCTTGGATGAGGAAGCAAATAACGCAACCAACTATTGCCCATGTCGACAACCTGAATACGATCGCAATACCATTATAAATTCTGTCACCAGCGAATGGAATCTCATATGTGAGAAAAAATACTTGGCGAGTCTTGCGCAGTCTATGCTTCAAGTTGGAATATTAGCAGGCAGTTTGACTTACGGTTATATTTCAGACAGGTATTTTGTTTAAACAGTTGCTATAAAGAGGAAAGATATATATATATTTTTTTTTTATTTACAATGTAAAAGTAAAAAAATACTTAACAGATTTAAAAAAAAATTCACTGGTAAACTAGATTATCAGAGAAATAACCGTGCGAAGCAGAGGCGAATCGTCAGTACTATTTAATGAATTTATGTAAGATTTAAATTACTATATGCAAAATGAATTAAAACCAAGTCTATTTTATATCAAGTGTAAAATATAAACTTTATTTTTCTTTATTTTGCAAATGTTTTGATAACCTCTTACGATAACCAGTTACAATTCGTTGTAAATTTTCAGATATGGACGCAAAATTGGCACCCTAATCGCTGTGTTCTCCAATGCTCTCTTTATCGCAATATCAGCATTACTTGCTAAGTTTTGGATTTTTATGATCTTTAGATTTTTAATTGGTACAGCAGTTGGTGGAACCATGTTATGTGGATATATACTGATTATTGAATTGAGTGGAAAGTCATTCAGACCATACTTAATTGGCTTATACGAAATATCTTTTATTATTGGATACACCATACTCCCTGTTATAGCATACTTCATAAGAGACTGGCGAAAACTTCAGCTAATAACATCAGTTCCATGGCTACTAGTTATTATATATTACTGGCTAATCCCAGAGTCGCCTCGTTGGCTTATCACAGTGGGCAAGAAGAAGGAGGCTGTGGATATACTTAGTCATATTGCTAAAAAGTGAGTGTATGATTAGTTTCTCAATTTTTGTACTATCTAACTTCTACGGTAGTTATATTTGTACTTAGGCTGGGAGATTCTGTTCTTCCTCATTTCATTAAAGAATTAGTGTCGAGAACTGGATGTTAGCCGTGTAGTCCTGATATAGAATAGATACTCATTTTCCCGTGGATGTCGTAAGAAACGACTAAAGAAACTTAATGGTCGAGAAATGGGCAGCAGCGTCCTTCTTAAAACATCATCAAAGCCTAACTGCGGTAGCCAACCCGCCTGTTAAGCATGGCATCTACTTGCAGAACCCCCCAATAGATGAACCTATGTTCAGCACTGGACAATTAATGGCTAATATTATTATCATTATTAAGATTTACATGGCTATAAAAGCTTAAATATAATTTTAAACACAAGCTTCTCATATGACATCACCGTCTAGAAAGAAGTTTTTGGAAAATGTCACGCGTTTATTACGAACTTCACGCGAGCGATCTTCTTTATATAATCAATTTTGAATTGTTTTTTTAGTTTATTAATAATATATTAATATTATTTACTCTTACAGGAACAATCGATCAACGGAGAATATAGAAATCATAGTTGATGAAATAGAAAAGGAAACAATGCGGGAAAAACAAAAGCATGGTACCTACTTCGATTTATTCAAGACACCTAAAATTCGTATCTATACTATTATCACAGCACTGGTATGGATGTTTTGTTCTCACACATTTTACGGAATTAACCAATATATTGGACGGCTACAAGGAAATATTTATCTAAACGTATTGTTGTCAGCTGCTTGTCTAGCCCCTGGTCTATTTATAGTTGTAATAACTACATTATTTTTAAAAAGAAAAGTTGGTGTCCTCTGTACCTTTAGCGTAGCTGGCATTGCATTACTAATATTTATATTTATCCCGACTTCCATGGAATGGTTGACTTTAGTATTCGCCATTATTGGTCAGATAGGTGCCTACACGTCGTTTGTTCAAGTATATCTTTTCACTTCAGAAGTTTTTCCCACTGTGGTAAGGAACTCTGCAATGGGGTTTTCTTCTATGTTTGGAAGATTCGGTGGTTTTATCGCACCATTCGTTGTGAATATAGGTGTAGAATGGGGATCGATTCTAGTTTTCAGTACAGTTGCATTCAGTGCAGCGATATTATGCTACTTTCTCCCAGAAACTAAAGATACGATACTTTTAAATTCAATAGAGCAAACTGAAACATCAAACGTAAGAAGGCCAAGTCAGGAGATTACAGTTTAATTCATAATTTACTTATTTGATAGACAAAATTAACATAACAGTAGGTTTATATACTTATCTTTATTACACTAGAACTTTATCTTTGGCATTGCTGAGAATTCACATTTATATTGCAATATAATTTAGTATTTTTCTACAATGTATTAAATATTTAATTAAACATTAAGTTTATCTAATAATTTGTATTGAATATTGTGAAATCCCCCAAAAAACCAAGTTATAAATATAAATAAGAATGTATGGTACATAACCCAAAATTGAAATATTATGCTATTAAATAAGGCATACAAAAAAATAATATCCAATATTGTCCAAAATAAAAATCCTTTTTTTGCAAAACTCATTGATCGTAGTGTTCTTTGAACTGGCGATTTATTTAATATAGAATCTATAAAAATACCTGAAATAAAAATAAAAAAAAAAATTAACGAAAATAAAATTTTTATTCATCGATTTTTCTTCCAAAATCAATAATTTTATGGATAAGAAAGTAAGTAGGTACTTGAGTTTCGTATGTACAAATAATATTAGGAAGGATAAAACTAATATCTCTTAAAGCTTAAGAAATTAATGTGTAAAAGATTCATTAAATAATTTTTATTATCTAAAAACACTAGACATGACACGCAACATCTTCCGTGTGACCAGGATATTGAGTTTTTTAATACTTCAAGATGACAAACAAGCATACAGTAGACGGTCACTGTAGACGCATGCAACAGTAAGGGTGTCACTTGTGAATGCATTATTTAATGTCTCTCTTCGTTCTACATAGTACATTTGCTTGGATACCTCTGTCCCATTCGTGTTTCAACCGTAAAGCAGTTGTGTTTGCATAGCTGTGTTTCGGTTTGAAGGGTGGGCATATGGCATGAATTTACAGGGTACAGAGGAATAACATCCGAGTCCTTAGGAATGGCAACGCATGGGAGGTATCATGGGCGAAACAGTATACTCTGTTATGTCCATGGTACTGCTCATGTCTATAGGCGACGGTTACCACTTTCCATCAGGTGGGCTGTCAGCTTGTTTGCCATTCTAAATTGTATAAAAAAAAACCACGTACCTTAGTCAAATTTCGTTATGATTGGTTAAGCCATTAAAGTGCCAAGAACAAACAATGAAACAAACATACAACCAAATAAATTTAACTCACTTTCACAACTATAATTTTAAATGAGAAAATAAGGATTATATATTCATAATAACTATTTACCTAAGTAGATTGGTTTGAAACTTTGAACAAACAAAAAACATTAATAGAAAAATATATATTACCGTTTTTATGAAAATTAGCAAGGCTTGCTTCCTTCTCATTCCATCGATCTTTAAGCCAAAGCTTCAAAGCCTCTTCTTTTTCAGGAAGTTGATCAATATTATATCTGGAATATAGCAATACTTCATAGAATTATATAAATTAGATTAACATGATAGAGCTAAAGAATTTGTTGAATATTATTATTAGATATTTTTTGTCCAATACGAATGGCAAACAAGTTGACAGGCCACCTAACAGAACAATCATCCAAATATCTAACTTTACAATTTATTACACTATTTGTGCATTTGTTAATGTTATATAGCAAAATTATTGAACCTACCGTTTAAAATGAAAGTAGATATGTTTCGGCATCACTCCTCGCAGTATATCAACTTCAGTTTGAGCCGGCCTATCGTACGCTACTGTAACGTCATATACAGAAGCCAGATTTGAAGAGCAGAGTTGTGAACAGAGGGCTGCCCATCCTGTGGTACGTGGATGCAGGACAAATTTATAATGCTAAAATGGATATAGTATTATTACTACTATATAAACTGGAAGTAAGTACGTTATGACTGTAACGTTAAGTAAGTAAGTAAGTAAATACTAAGTAGTTTTTAAATAAAAATTATCATTTTTATTGAACTTACTGGTAAATTATTAGCTTCAGCATATTTATCACTACGTCGTTTATTGGCATCGCTTAAATCAGTGCCCTCAGGAAATAGCACCAATCGACACACGCAATGTAACTTTTTATAATAGTCTACGAACTGAGACAAATTTATTTGGTCTTCCCGCCAATCCCTTTTTACGTATAGAAAAAAATTTAATTGCATTATCCAACCTGTGTATAAAGATAAAGTTCAATTACATAGGTATAACTTAATCTAGTTCTGTTATCTACGTTTATCTACATATAACAAGCAATTTAATAAGTTTCTAGAAGCTTGTCTTAGGAATGGTATTGCATGGAGTGTATTATGGGCGAAACAGTATAGTCTGTTATGTCCATAGTACTGTTCATGTTTATAAGCGAGTATTACCACTTTCCATCAACTAAACTGTAGCTTGTTTGTCATTCTAAGTTACATAAAAAAAATTCTGTTTGTATCCAATACACCTGCCTACCTACGCAGGTAAATTGTTACATAGTTGTACTTATTATTATACATACATTACATTAAGTATATTACAGAAATGTATCTTTGCTACTGACTTACCCAATCCAGGAATCATTTTAATCTCATCTTTCAAAACAAACTTAAGTTTAGACTTTCCTCTAGACAGCAAGTCCAAAAAATTACTGTTTGTCAATGTCTTAGATGACTCTCCCTTACAAATACACACTTCCTCCCTCGAATTCCTTTGTGTGGCATGATAGAGAGCTAACCACACATAATTCCAATCGACTCTCGTGCGGTGATTCATTATAATGATAGTATTTTCATCGGGATTTACATAATCTCCATACAAATGTAACTGGCTACCGAAACAACATTGAAAAAGTGCCTGAAAATTTTAAAGATATTAACATCAAAACTGTATTCTAAATTATACCTTACAACGTAGACTTATACTTTGCAATCAATCAATGAACTATTCCACTGGTATCGTCAACCACTGCCTAAAGTTAACATAAATTTTCTTTAGGACTACTCTGAAGGTAGATAGGTACAGTTACTTTCTAGATGCTTATACTTTTCTTTATAACACGAGGGCAAACGAGCTTGCGGCTGACCTGATGGTAAGTAACTACCGCCGCCCATGATCACCCATAACACCAAAGGTTTTGCAGGTGTGCTGCTGGCCTTTTAAAAAGGAATATGCTCTTTTCTTGATGGTTATGATGTCGTATATATATATCGTCGTCGTATACTTGTATATAAAATATCGTTTATGTTTTACAACCAAAATAAGGGTTTCTTTTGAAATATTAAATAATTAATTGCAACCAAATAAATTGTGTCTATAATAGTAAGTATGTATGACTACAATAACATAAATAATTTTAGGTTATTATATGATTTTTTTAATAATAAAATCTAAATAGTATTTAAATGTGTATATATACACATATACATCAGAATACATTACTAATATTATAAAAGTAAAATTTATAAAATATATCCTCTTTGTTTGTAAAAATAAAAATAAATGCCTAAATAAAATCAAATGCCTAATTAATCAATTGCTACCTACCACTGGATATAGCTCCCAAAGTGCGAAAAGCACATCAACTAGTTTTCTATACAGTTTATGATTGAAGAATATTATGTACATAACGGGACAATATAGAGTATAAAATCCTGAAATAATTATTAAAATTAAATATATATATGTTATTATCTAACAGTTTCCATATCAAAATCCTAAAAATAACTATATAATTAACATACATATATTAAATATCACAAATATTATATCAATAAAATTTAAACAAAATATATTTAATATTTTTATAAGTAAAGCTTCGTTAATATAAGTACTTTAATGAAGCAATATTTCAATAATAAATAAATCTTTATATAAAAATAAATTATAACAAAGTAATATAATACGCCTATGTAGCCATTAAGTTTGAAATAATACTTGAGACTTTGTAATGTACCTAAACTTTAAATAAATACAATTGATATAAAATTCGTATCTATAATTATATAAGTTACAGAGTACTTATTATTTATAAATACGTACTAAATAAATATTATTCTGGATATAATTTCAAAACTCAAAAAATTTCTATAATATTTTTATTAATAGCCCACTTAAATTTGATTTCATTTTTAATTATTTAAATTTAATATAAAATAATAGGGTATATACTATACAATACTGTGTGCAAAGTCTGATCCCGCACCTCTTGCCTTGACGGTTCATTAGCCCATAGCAATCGCTTCCCAATATCTATCTTCTAATTTCTTATTTAGAAATTTATACCACTTATAGTCAGCCCGGGACTCATTACCCCATTTTTGAAGTTTTACCTAATCTAATGAAATAAACAAATATTATAATTATATTAATTTCATTAGTGATGGATATTTGTTTAAGTACTAAGTACATGTAATGTCACCTAAATAAAATTTACTAAAGGTACTTACCAGCTATAATTGTGTAATACCAAGCAATACAGAGAAGGAGCCCCGCCGCCATGACGCTGTAAACTAGTACTGAATAGTATTGTTAGAGAAGCCTTATACATAGAGCATAGTCAATAGATTAGAATCCCAATAAGTTTTGCCCACTAAACCCTTCAATACATACTATAATACCTATTTATTTAATTATGTAATCAATAGTACCTTAATAACTTTATTGTTACATGTAATGGAAAAGCAGAAATAATAGATAAAATTATAATTGTTTGAAATCAAAATCAACACTAAATGTTTTCTAGGTTACTGAACTATTATCTCTGCGTTTTTTACTAAAAGCTTCGCCTTCTTCTATTGTCATCATCAGTTCGCAGTCTTTTGTCTCTGGCAACAACAGGCACAATGCAGCAGTTAATAATGGTAATACCCCAAATGCAACGGAAGCGCACCATTGTCCGTATAGCCTCAATTCTGTTACAAATGCCATCATTGAACATATACCTATCGCTCCATTACGAACCACTGTCGGAAACATTTCCGTACAATATAAATACACCACATACAACCAAACACAACCAAAAACCAACACCAACACCAATACAACCAAAAGCAACAGACGCTGTGCCTTCGTGGATTAAGACTATTGTAAATAAACAACAACTGCTCAAAACATTTGCAATAATTATGATAGTTCTGCGGTCCATAAATTTCATCACAGGTATAGAAATCAAACTACCACAAAGGCAAACGCTGCCACATGCAACAACGTTTACGTAAACATCACCAGTCAAATGGCTTATGTACAATGTAACACCATAAAAACGATAACTACACACTAGCCAAATGAATGACATAATTATGATACGTTTCCTTAAATTCAGTGTTCGGAATAAATCTAAAACAGAAGTTTTCTTCACTTTAGCATTTTTGTGTTTAAATTGATACATATCTACTTTCTGTTCAATTTCCTCCGTAGGTAACTTATTACTGCAACCAAAATTATTATTTTATTATTATTTTTAATATATGATTCAACTAAATACAATTAATCTTGATAATAAAGTAAATACTTATAATACATTTTTGCAACTCTCTTTATAAGAGCTACAGTTTCCACAGTTTTGTTTACCGCCAGGAACCATCTAAGTGTTTCTGGTAATATACAAATATAAAATAACATAATAATATTTGATAAAGATATTCCCAATTGAAGATATACATATATAATATTGGCCCTATTTGGATATTTAATAAGGGATTATCCCTTATTAAATATCCAAATAGGGCCAATATTATGTAACCAAGAGTAAATGGAACATTATAAAGCGCCGACACTACATGTCTGTATGTATTTCCGACGTATTCCATTACGATAACAAAACCAACCACAATAATACCACCGATGGCAAATCCTAATATCATTCTAGCAATAGTAAAACTCCAGAAATCTGGAAGAAAGCATGATATCACTCCAGCGAATACTTCTAAAATAACGGAAATTATCAAAATTGGTCTTCGGCCGTATCTGTAATTATAAAGAATAAATATATTCATAAATAAAATATAGAAAATTAATCAGCCGTGGGGTCCCGACATAGAATGGGCCAATCCTTCTGTTACAAACTCCTTTGTAAATTACAAATGTGTTTCAAATATTGTATTCTTGTAATTGTTAATTTTTTTGTATAAATTGTCAGTACAAATTTTCAACACGAACCGGCGTTTTCTTTCCTACAATCAGTTCACAATACCTTCCTTTCTCGTAATTGTCATAAGAGGCGTCTAAGGAACTTAATAGTCGAGGAATAGGCAGCAGCGTCCCCCTTAAAATATCACCAAAACCTAATTACGGTTGCCAACGCGCCTACTAAGCGTGGCAACTACTGGGCAAACCCCCTAAGGGAAAGGTCTATATTCACCAATGAACAGTTGACAGCTGATATGATTATAGCGATGAAATAGAAAATTGTATCTTTTTTTATACAACTTAGAATGGCAAACAAGCTGATGGCCCATCTAATAGATAGTGGTAATCGTCGCCTATAGATATGAGCAGTATCATGGACTGTTTCGCCCATGATACCACACATGCGTTGCCATTCCTAAGGACTTAGGTGTTATTCCTCTGTACTCTGTAAATTTACTGCCATATCCCACCTTTCAAACCGAAACACAGCCATGCAAACAACTGCTTTACGGTAGAAATACGAATAGGACAGAGGTGTCCAAACAAACAACTTTTGTACAATCTCCTCCTGGTTATGTATCCGTCTTACATGCGACAAAGAATTGTTTCATTTTTTATAAAGTTTATGAAAAGAACTATTGTATTACTGAGTAAACATTATTATTTCAATAAAAATACAATACATATACAACTTAAATTAGAATTTTATCTATTCTTTATACTAAACCAGAATTATGCATAATGCAAATTAAGCAGGTATTTTAAATATTACTTGTTTTGATAAGGCACGTACGTACCCGAAGCTATTATAAATATTATAAAATATACATGAATGTACAGTATCACATATTATTTAAAGTTATAGTTATAAGTAAAAATTTTTGATGCGAGCAAATATCTTAGTCTGGTATAAATATTATAGGTAAGTACATACTAACTTATCTGATGTTATTCCACATAACAGACTTCCGATAAGAACATCAAATCGAAAGATTATTTGTGTGAAATCTTTCAACCATACATTTTTACAGATCAAGTTCAGAACAAGTTTCATTCCATTACAATGGAATGAAACTTGGGTACGCTGCCTCGGTGTGGTGCGTTGGGAGATTACTTTTAATTGTTATTAGTATTTAAGGAATTTTGTAAAAAAAAAATAATAAATAAGAAATAATTAATATTAAAAAAAAAATTACAATGGTTCTAGTATATTCTGATTTATCATAAACCGGATTCTCACAGCGGGTACTATTAGTGTCTGGACAAATGTATTTTGCTGGTTGAGCCAAAAATATTATTGCCATCTGATGAAATGCTACTCCAAACTCATTAATTAATATAATAAAACAAATCCACACGTGATATCTTCCGAAATGTCCAATCAGTTCGTTTATTAACACCATTTTTAAAAACTATACTTAAACGATTTTATACGCAAATATGCAGCATAGAGATACCAAATAAACAATTACCAAACAAACATTAGTACTGCCTGATTTATACGAAATCTAGTAGGCGTCCACCAAAATAACTATCAGGGGGTGACTAGTGATTGATACTGATGCTAAAAATACAATCAGTAAAATTTTTGTCTATCTGTCTGTGTGTTCGTTATAAAATCAAGACGGTAGACGATAGAATTTAAACGGATTTTAACGAAACTTGGTACAATTATTCTTCATACTCCTGGGCAGGTTATATTATACTTTTCATTAATAGAAGCAGAGCAATGAAGGGAAATGTTGGGAAAACGGGAGAAGTTACTCCATTTTTAAGCTTCCGTCGCGTGTGCAGCCTTAATGGCCACTTTTTTAAATATAAAAATGTCCACCCGTGCGACGCCGGCACGGCCCACTAGTATCAAATAAAGTCAACATATGTACTGCTGTCATCGAGAGTGCCCTGTCAAATATTATTTAGGTAATCATACAAAAGAGAACAAATTTTAGGAAATAATTTTAAATAATAGTATGTAGTATAATATATATATATAGATATATTCAAATACATCGTCACTCGCAAACTAATAAACAGAGAGTAATATTTTAATTATTCCTTCTTTATTTCCAGACATTCTTTGATTATATAGAAAAAATACCCAACGAATGACTAGGATAAAATAGTCTAAAAGGGATTGCTAAATAACGATTATTTACAACAGAAAACTTTATTTACGAACCTAATTATTACAAACATAAGAAATAAATAATAATTACGGAGGAATAAAACATTATTTGTATGTGGCGATTTTAATGTTGATTTATTATCGGAATGCTCAATAAGCTTAAGATTGATTAACTTATTTAAATCATTTAATTTGCACAATCTTTTTTTAGAACCCACTAGGGTCGCAGGAAATTCTGCCACTTGTATAGATAATGTTTTTTGTAATTGTGAAGTAAAGGTGAAAATGAATTTCGACTGTCTTGGATCTGATCATTACAGACAAAAAGTTATAATTGAAACTAAGGGATCCAACGGGACTCAAACAATTACATGCAGACAAATAACACAAAAGAATTTGGCACGTTTTAAAAATAAAATTGAACATAAAATATCTAGTGTCATAGTACCTCAATATGACCCGGACATTGTATGTGAACATATTTTTAATTTAATTGAACATGAAGCTAGCAGTGAATTTAAAACAAAAACATTTTCAACTAGTGTAAAATCAAAGTTTTGTGACTGGGCCACGTTAGGTATTTATAAGTCTAGGGCTAATCTTTACGAACTTTACGAAAAACGAAGCTATATATCCGATCCCTTATTTCATGAACATGTAAAATCTTATTCGAAAATATTTAAAAAGGTTTGTCATACAGCTAAGTCTCTCTATTTAGGTAAAATAATAACTAAATCTAAAGATAAAATAAAAGCCACTTGGAAAGTAATAAATAGCGAAACTGGAAAAGTTAATTTTCAAAATAGCAAAATAGCTTTAAATATTAATAACAAATTGGTAAATTCCGACACAGAGGTCGCGCATACATTCGAATCTTATTTTACTAATATTCCATTAATTACGACACAGGCTCTAAAATCTTCCCCGTCTGCTGCTGAAACTTTACTAACAGACAATGTTAGCAAGTCATCAGCTGTATTTAACTTTAGACATACATCATCAGTAGAAATAATGAAAATATTCAAACAACTTAATAATAAAAAAACAGAGGATCTATGGGGTATATCTGTTAAAATACTGGATAGTATAATGGAAATTATTGCGCCCTCTCTTGCTTTTATTTTCAATAAATGTATAGATGAAGGTAAATTTCCTAACATAATGAAAATTAGTAAAATCATACCGCTTTTTAAATCTGGAGATAGGAGTGACCCAATAAATTATAGACCTATATCCATACTCCCAGCACTCAGTAAAATTTTTGAAAAAATAATCCTTATGCAACTTGTCAGTTATTTCAATTTAAATAATTTAATCCACAATAGTCAATTCGGTTTTTCCAAAGGTCGTTCAACTACAGACGCAGGTGCAGAGTTGCTTAGACACGTATTTGCTGCATGGGAAACTAAAATG